TGCCGGAAAATGAGGAAATTGACGAAAATTTTATTCAGTCTCGGAGTAGTACCAATAGACTGAGTGAATCCAATCTTTACTTTTCTCAAATTCGGGATTTTTTTCCTGGAAAATCCTGGAAAATCTTGGGAAAACATGAGACAAATTTTACTCATCGCTGAGTTCCTGCACTTTTGGCGATTATGAGTGAACTAAACTCAAATTTGGGTCGTTCTCATTCGCCGTACACATACACAGAAAAAAAAGTTGTTGAATATTACATCCAAACTGCTGCAACCAGGTCAATCCAACGGTTGTGTAATATAACGTTGGACGATGTACATCGATTTTGCGAACAAAATTACATCCATGTGATATTGTATCTGATTTTTGCTATTACATCATTATTTCATACATCAGCTTGAATTACATTGATCGATATTACATTTTTTTTGCTGTGTTATTTGACAACCCGTTTTATTCAGGATTGTATCAACCAGTGGCAACTAAGGATTTTAAATTGGCTCACTGCTTGACTAGCCTATAAGCACAAACGAAGTGACAGACGACTAACTGGCGAAGAAATCAATTAAAATAATGTGGTTCGCTGTAATAGAATTTTCTTAGAAGCTTGTGCCATCAGCCACCAGATGGGCTAGTTTTTTTGTTTTGAATTGATCATAGTTGATTTTGTGTGCAATATGATCTTTGACAGTGTGCAAAGAGTGTATCATTTTGTAATTTTTTTTATGCATTTCAGTTTAGAGTAGAGTGAAAGAGATAGAACCAAAACATTCTAGTTCAATTGGTGAAAATGCTAGTTCAATCCAATAGTAGTGTTGCCATGTGATACAGTCCAGTAGTAGTGGTGTTGCCATGTGGTACACTGAAAAATTGCAATAGCAGGTTAGTCACCAAAGTTTTCGAGCCGCTCCGTCTGTCACTTCGTTTGTGCTATAAGCATAGAGGTAACTCTAAGACCTGAAGGTCCCGAAGAAACGAGCTCAACTTGTTGGCTCAGCTCTGGTACTATCTTCGGTCCCAAGCTAATCGATTCACCCCTCGAAATATAGGAAAATCCACTAACCCTTCATTTTATCTGTCACACTTTCATAGCGAATCAAAACAAACATAGTGTAGTACTGGAATTTATACTATACATTTCTTCGGGACCTTCTGGTCTTAGAGTTACCTCTATGATTGTACACTGTTATAAAGCATTTATTCAATATATTTGCTTATTTGTGACTTTGAATTGTTTGTTGAGACACTGTGCAGAGCGAGGTGCATAGTGACCAACCCCTTGATCTGAGAAGAATTCAAGAGAAATGTTGAAGATGATTCAAAAACAAAAATCTAAGAAGTATTCCAAAGCAATGCTGAGAAGATATTCCAAGGGAACTAGAAGGCGAGCTGTAATGGAAGTCGGTAGAATTTTTACGCAAGCAGCCCGGAAAAAAATAACTATAATTACCATATAATATTATAAAAACATACAACAAAATCTATTGCCAACAATCCATCTTATTGCTCTTCTTATTGTATGTATATCATACAAGTAAATTAAAAATATTGTTATTACAATCGGCGAATCCAATCCAGCTTTCCATGCTCGGTAATGGCGGCCTGCTTGTATTAATAAATTTATCCTTCACTGTGCTTTCTGGAGGTTCGGATTTTGACACCTCCCTTTCCCTCTCCCAGGAACAGAAGAACATGAAACAACATACGCCTTCCAGTTAGTGTCAAAAAGCACAGTGAAGGATACATTTATTCATACAAACAGGCCGCCATTACCGAGCATGGAAAGCTGGATACGCCTTTTTAATGCACCACCAACGTAGAGTGCGCCACGCGAGTTCGAGAAGAAACGTCAACCAAACCGTTTGTTTACATCAGAATAAGTATTTTCCCCAACGCAAATAACAGCATTTTTATTTCCACTAGCCCAAATCACTTGAGCTGTCAAGAAGACGGTTCAAAAAAGAAAGAAGAAGAAGAAGCATTTTTTATTCAAAATCTTGCCAATTTCCATCGGTCATTGTCTTATTGTACGATTTTCCACAAATCTGAACTGATTTGCACCTTAACTATTCACAGTATTCACACACAAGAAATCCGGAAGATTATCCAGCTTTCCATGCTCGGTGTGCTTTTTGACACTAACTGGAGGGCGTATGTTGTTCCATTTTCTTCTGTTCCTGGGAGAGAGAAAGGGAGGGATCAAAATCCACCACTTCGTCAAGCAGTTTTGGCTTGACTTGCTACCAGCGATTTCGCAAAACTGGACCAACTAATTTATATTTTTTTATGAAACGCACAGATGTTGGCTACTTTTCTCGAGGTTCTAGAAGAAAAAATCTCAAAATAATGTTTATATCATTTTAACTGCTCGAATGAAGTGGTTAATTTATCCACCGCAGGTGCTTGAAATCATCATCCACGTGGAATATTTTGTTTCCCGTGCCGGGTTTGCAGTGATCCGGCTGGTGCTTCCATATATGTTTGATGAGAAAAATTAAGATTTAATAAATTGTTCTGCGGTTATAATCTTCCGGATTTTCAATGTGTGGTTATTTCAGCTGCAAATCAGTTCAGATCTGTAGATAATCGAAAAATAAGACCACTCCCGATGTAAATTTTTCAAGTTGTGCAATTGGAAGATTGCCGCAAAAGCTCAACGCAGATGTCGCCACTGCATGATGATGATAATGTTGACAGACTGCATATAAAATTCGTGAAAATTAGCATTAAATCATAATTTTCATCAAGCCTGCGTGAAATCCTTCCAATATAACATTCGAATTGAAGAAGAAAACGTGATGTGCATATTTGACTTTTCCAGGTGAACTTTCATAAAATATATTCATTTCATTTGACGGCTCCATCAATGCTGCATCGTAAATATGATTGTAAACAGAAGTAAATTGCTCAATTACTCAAAATAAAGATGATTTGTCATCTTGTTATCACTTTGAAGACCATCTAGCACCATTTTATAGTATGGTGCATGTTGAGTAAATCAAGTTCCGGTGCGTTTTCCGTCGAAAATTGTGAGTATCAATATGTTTGCTTAAAAAAGGCCAAAATGAACATTTATTGAATATTGGCGTCCTAAACAACCAATTCTCTATTACCACCAGCATGATACAACTTTTCCTAAGTAAATTTACTTAATTTCTACTTTCATCTTAGTGAAAATCGCACGTATTTACCACTTTTCTGAAAAATGCAGCTGCGCAGGAGGTAACCTCTCCATGTTGGTGCAAACTTGTTATGCATAATTTGCCATGAAAACATCTCCGAGCCATACCGAAATAATAACAAATAGTTTTCAAACACGTTTTCTTACACGATTCAAGCAAAAGTTTCCACGGAAAATTATTAGTTTTTCTTTATGGACCGATTTGCCCCAAAAAGCGTCTGTTTTACTTGAAAAATTTGGAAACTATCCTCCTTCTAGTAGTTCTCACTTCGAAATGTAAGTGGTGAAAGCTTGGAAAAGTTTCACTGCAAAACGCCAATAAAATGCACATTATTTTGAGTTTTTAAATCGTCATTATGATGCAAACAAATGGATTGGATGACATTTCCTCTCAAAATCGGCTAGCGCACTCTACATTGATGGTGCATAAAAAGAGCCTATAGACGAGTGCACGGATGGATTTGAGTTCACTCACTCGACAAAAATTGACACAACAGCGGGGCCCTGTTTACTAAAAATGAACCCATGGATAATGCTCGCGTAACATTTAAAAAGGGCCTATCAACGTTTGTAAAAAACTTGCTAGGTCCTTTTCAACAGAACCGAAGTACGTCCACGCAAACCAAGAGCACTATCGGGAAGGGGGAGAATTTCCCCTATCCGATGGTGTTGTTAGTTTGCGTGGGCGTATTCGGTTAGCGCGAAGAGGACTTAACAAGTTTTGTGTACATAATATATAAGTTGATAGACCCGTTTCAAATGTTACGTGAGTATTATTCATGTGTTCATTTTTAGTAAACAGGGCCCCGCTGTTGTGTCACTTTTTGTCGAGTGAGTGAACTCAAATCCATCCGTGCACTCGTCTATAGATTTACAATACGTCCCATATAGTATGAATTTTCAGCAATAGATGAACAATAATATGAATGGTAAATGGCTCAAGTTTATTCGGGAAAAAGTGATTTTTTGTTCGGTTAAGATACATAACAACCCCTTTGTTGTATTGTAGATTTCCGCTTTTACCATAGATTTTATTGTGGAAACCGTAAATTCAATGCTTATTTTATCATTGTGGATAATACAATATATTTTAAGTACAATAAATTATATTGAATTCTTACAATACATTTCATTGTACCTCTATCGTTCATTTTTTACGGCAGTGTTTTGGCGTGACTTTCTACCAGTGATTCCACAAAACTGGACCAGCAAATTAATATTTATATTGTGTAAAGTACAAATTTTTTCTACTTTTCTCAAGCTTCTAGTAGAAAAAATCTCTTAATATTGTTTAATTTCGTAGTTTGAGTGGTAGTAAACCTCATTTTAACTGATCAAATAAATTGGTTAATTTGCCATCAAAAACACTTTTCTGACACCCCTCGATATTGCTACCAGAAGATGTACTAGCATTATCCCCTCAAGTGTACCCCGTGCTGAACGTTCCGCTGCTCGACGAGTCGAGAAGATGAACAGTACTAGATTATGTGTAAAATGTCACGTAGCCAGAAAGAAAACAAAACAATCAAGTTTCTCCCATCCAGGTACCTCAGTTAGAAAGAGATGGAAACGCACCAACACAACTATGTCATGCTTGACATCTCTTTCGTCCTGCCGCAGTTACACCAATCTTTCTGACGTCAGTGAGGTTTGTTTTGATGCATAATCACATCAATACAACCCAAGTGAGATGCATTGGCACACCCACTGTGGAACAGCTGATTGACATTGCGTTTTTCTAGCAGTGTCCGCTTCCAGAAACTTCTCGACTGTCGCTTCTGGAAGCTGGGTTTCATTTTTCTTTTATAAAACGGGTGCACCCGAAGTGGATCGAGTTTAATCAGTTCATAGAAAAGCAAGAGTGCGCACACGAAAATTTCGAGACAAAGCTGAAAAATAGTTGGAAGGTCAAATTGTTTTAAAGAGTTTTTCGGAGGAGACCACGTATTCAATTGAAGTGTGATTTTCCGTTGGAAAAGTTGAATTTTGGCAAGCAAAACTCGAGTGAAAAGAGAAGGTATTTTTGCTCGAATCGGTGACGAATTGCGCCTCTGGAAAACAAAATTGACTGATGGTTCTTTCTAGAAAGCGGAAATACGAAATGGGAAAGGACTTCTACAATATTCTCGGTGTGTCGAGAACGGCCACCGACGATGAGATCAAGAAAGCGTACCGCAAGTTGGCATTGAAGTACCATCCGGATAAGAACAAGAGTCCTCAGGCTGAGGAACGGTTCAAGGAGGTGGCGGAAGCCTACGAAGTGCTTTCGGATAAGAAAAAGCGTGATATTTACGATCAGACGGGCGAAGAAGGACTGCGAGGTGGATTGGGAGCTGGCGCTGGCGCTGGTGGAATGGGTGGAAATGGAAGCTTCCAGTACCAGTACCACGGAGATCCACGGGCGACATTTGCGCAGTTCTTCGGAACGAGCGATCCGTTTGGTGTGTTCTTTGGAAACGACGGAATCGGTTCGAATATGTTCTACACAGAAATCGGTGGAGAGTCGGATGATCCATTTGGTTATGGTGGTCGAGGCGGTATGGGACCTGGTGGATTTCCGGGTGCATTCCGGTCTCAATCGTTCAACGTTCAAGGATCGCCTCAAAGGAAGCAAAAGCTGCAGGATCCACCGATTGAGCACGATTTATATGTGACACTGGAGGACATCAATAGTGGATGCCAGAAGAAGATGAAAATCTCCAAAATGGTCATGTCACAGGATGGATCCGCACGGAAAGAGGAAAAGATCCTGAACATCAACGTGAAACCTGGATGGAAGGCAGGCACGAAGATCACTTTCCCCAAAGAAGGTGACCAGGTTCCAGGAAAAGTACCCGCCGACATTGTTTTCATCATTCGGGACAAGCCACATTCCCACTTCAAACGGGAAGGTTGCGACATTAAATATACAGCGAAAATCTCGCTCCGGCAGTCCCTATGTGGCACTGTGGTGAAAGTTCCAACCCTATCCGGTGAAATCCTCACCATCAGCACCGTTGGAGAGGTCCTCAAACCAAACACAGTCAAACGCCTGCAGGGTCGAGGTCTTCCCTTCCCCAAGGAACCATCCCGGCGGGGTGACCTGCTAGTGTCCTTCGACATCCAGTTCCCGAACCAGCTGAACCAAAATGCGAAAGATATCCTGTCGGATCTGCTCCCTATGGATACCAATGCGTAAGCTGTAAGAGGGAGGAAATAGCAAAACATCGAGAGAGAGGGAGAACATTCTAGAGCAACGGAAAATACGTCGTCGTCGTCGTCGTCGTCACCGCCATCGCTCATGTCTGGCCTCGTGATTAATCTCTCTCTTTGCTCCTCTCATTGGCTCTTCTGGTTGGTTCGAGAAGGAGAGCGAGAGAAACTTGTGTAAATAGTCGTCGAGTTCGAGTGGAAAACAGCTCGATTCGAGCAGTTAAGGTGAACGTGATTGCGGGTTTGAATTTATCCGCTATGTTTGTTTATTTTTAAGTTAACCTTGTAATTCAATTTCTACTAGAAGCGTAGTTTCTATGATAAGTTATTCGTTCATTGGGGGGTGCGCGCCCTATTATGTATGCGAGAGAAGACTGAGAGAATTAATTAAATAAACTAGATTTTAGAACAAAATATAAATAGCCACATTGAAACTGATCAACCAACAACGTTAGTAAATGCAACGGAAGAAAGTGTAGACGATAGTTTTCCCCAAACAAAACAGTAATTAAAGCGATTAACGCTGGAACGTTGTGATTATTGCTACATATTTGTCTATCATTTTAGTAGTGTTGTTTTTTTTTTTCGTTTACCAAACTGTAAATAGCGGAAAACTTTTAATGAATTCTTACCACAGATAAAATAGGTACGTTATAGTACGTGAAAGATGTGTACCAAAAATCAAGAATAAATATGAAAAATTAATTTAATCGAATTGTGTTGTGCAAAACGTAGGACTTCGGAATATCACACGCCCAACCATTGTGGCAAGAGTACGACTAGTCAGTTGGATGTCGATGATGTAATTTTCCTATTCTAGTATCATACGTAGTCAGCCGATTGGTGGTATTATTCAATCCAAACTTTGTACTCCCAACTCGTGTGTATGTTTATCATTTATTATAGAACAGCTAGTAGAGCAGGAGCATTGGCTATGGTTGTGTTTTGAACAGCCGTCTAAAATTTGTTTGCTGTTGCGACCTTATTGTCTGATAGTTTGGCGTCCCCGTCGGCAAATTTTTTAAAAATTGCTGCTGAAAATGTAAACAATGCATGTACCCATAATTTTTGGTTCGTAATTGTGCTACGCTGGTCATTGGCTTTGTTGTGATGAACATATCGATGGCACTCCCTTGGATCTGAGGAAGAGAGACCAAAAGACGCATACTACCAAGCCTATAGGCACGCTTTGCTCGTTTATGTCTGGTACAACATAGCTACATGCAATTACTTTGTAGAAAGACAGAAGGCAGCTCTTGTGTTATTCATATTTATTTCAGAGACGTAGCGAGCGTTTGCTATGCCCATTTTGAATCATGAAAATAAGGCCCCTTTCCTAATTGTTTAAACTACAGCAAACTTTCCATACTTCGATATTGAAGCTGAAGGGACCATCGAGATAGATAGTGATCATTCAGAATTCAGAACAGTTATTTATTAGCCTACTAGCACAGAACAGATAGGTAACATGGGAATCAGAAACGGAGGCATTTAAATTTCAATTGGTAGTGACACCTAGCGGTAGAGAGAACGCTTTTTACACTCAAAATTTATTTACACTTATACACCCCCTAGTTTAATCTAGTACATATGAGTAGATACTGTTGCCGTGAGGTACACTCGAAAATTGTAAATGTAAGTGCGTCAAATCAAATTTCGAGCCGCTCCGTCTGTCACTTCGTTTGTGCCCATATGATGTATTCTAGGATAGCTCAGATGGCAAGGCAAGCGGCTAGTGATCGGAAGGTCATGGTTCGAATTCCATCTAATGACATGTGTGTGCATGCATGTATGTAATAAATTTTCTAGTATTCTGTGTTGGTTGGTGCGTGCTTCGACATAAATAATGACACAACAATCACCAACGAGAACAACCCTGCTCTGTTCCGTTCTTATTTTCGGATTAATTATCCCGAAGTTGAATAATCGTTTAATAAATGTATAATAGTGTTTAATTAAACATTATTTCGCATGAGAATCAAGCGTCTATAATTACACCTTTGTACCATCGCTGTTTAAGGAAGTAATGATGTCTTATAAACGCTGAATAATCAAAAAAATTATCGAATAAAGCTCTGTTACAAATCTTATAAGTCGAATAAAAGCTTCCCGACATACTTTATTCAACACCCAATATTTCGATTTGTGGTTGAATAAATTCTCCAGGTTGTGTGAACAAAGCCTGAACAGAAGTTATTATTAAAAATAGTACAAGTATTATTAAGCATGCAGTTGAATAAAATCGCCAAGAAGTCGTTTCTTCAATAGGCAATTGTTTGTTGGGGAGTACACTACTGACATCTGGCTCCGTGTTCGCGGGAAATATTTAGCTAAGCCATGAACCCGCATGCAAAAGTTATGAATTGGTTCGTGCCTGATCTATTCTGTACAAATTATTTTTATCTAGATAAAAAATCCTATGGTTTTGACAGATCCTATCACTGCACATTTAAATCGGCCGTTTACGATTTTCGGCATAAGTCAGAATTAAGTGTCATGTCGGTTTGTCGGTGCTGTAATGTCCCTCTTGGAGGTTCTCGTTCAGGATGGTGCCGTTTCGATTGCGCCGATCGTTGCCCCAAGCTTAGTGTTTGGCATTTACGGCATTTAGGTCGCCAGCGATGCGCCCCACCCCCAGAGCAGGTGTGGTGTAGAGCGATGTATAATTTACGTTCGTTGCGGAACTTTACGAACTAGATGCTCTTGCTCTTAAGGCCGGCGCACAATGCATACGTTTTCGGGTTTTTTGACAGATAATGCATGGGCTAACTGTCAAAAAACCTGAAAACGTATCCATTGTGCGCCGGTCTTTAAGTGAGCAAGCATTCCAGTTGGCGATCTTGATGGCGCCAAGGTCCACGATTGTCGTATTGTCGATGAAACGTGATGCTCGGTTCTAGCACAGTGTTGCCAGAATGTTTTAAAGTTTATCGGTATCAAAGGTTTAAAAAAATCAGTATTTATCGGTATTTACTATTTTAATGAATTTTTTTAATTTAATATTTTAATATTTTTGCCGTTTTTTGAAAGTGAAAATTTTAACTTTTGGACTATGATCGGAACATTCCGGAAGAAAACTCCGGGGAATGCTTGAATTAGCTTCTGGAGGAAGCTGAAAACAAGAGCCAGAGAAAGAAGAAATAAGCTCTCCTGGAGGAAATTTGAGGAAAGTTCTGAGAGAAGTCGGAAAAACATCCGCGGAACTTCTAAGACATAAATTGAGAAACTTCTGGCGAAAATCTAAAGAAACTTTCAGGAAAAAAACGGATTTCACATTCAAAGGAAGGCAGAAAAGTTTCGGAAATCGGAAATAAATTCTAGAAGTAGCCGTTTCCAGGGGAAGCCAGAAGAAGCTCAGAATAACCTTCCAATAGAAGTAAAAAAAAAAACAACTGTACAAAATTCCAGAACTAGACGAAAGAAATTTTTGGAAGAAATTTAATTGATCTTCCTGGAGAAGACGGAAAAAAACTTCCTAGAGACGCTGGCAGAAACTTCGGAAGCCAGAGCGCTAACGGAACAGTCGAAAGAAAAAAAGGACATAATTCCGAAAGAAAGTGCTCTTGGGAGATGTTCTAATGCTCCAGAAAATTTTCCAAATTGTCATAAAATATCTCTGAAGACTCCACAATGCCCCTGAAGTTTTTGGAACATTCCTGAAATGTACTTAGGAATATTCCATATTTCCTCGGGCTGTTTTGGAATACTCTGATCATTTTTTGAAATACTTGGAACTTCCCTGATTGAGACTACGGGAATATCTCTAATCAACTTTGAAGGTCTCTAGACTTTCTTGAAGATTACGAAATTTCTTAAGCGCTCTCACAATTTTCTTGAACTTATTGTAACATCAGCATTTATCCCGATTTTTTCATCGACACTGCTATTAATAAGCACGGAACCACAAACGAAGTGACAGACGACTAACTGGCGAAGAAATCCATTAAAATAATGTGGTTCACTGTAATAGAATTTTCTTGGAAGCTTTTGCCATCATCCACCAGATGGGTTAGTTTTTTTGTTTTGATTTGAACAAAGTTGATTTTGTGTATAATGATTCATTGACAGTGTGCAAAGCACAAACGAAGTGACAGACGACTAACTGGCGAAGAAATAAATTAAAATAATGTGGTTCGCTGTAATAGAATTTTCTTAGAAGCTTGTGCCATCAGCCACCAGATGGGCTAGTTTTTTTGTTTTGATTTGACCATAGTTGATTTTGTGTGCAATATGATCCTTGACAGTGTGCAAAGAATGTATCATTTTGTAATTTTTTTTTATGCATTTCAGTTTAGAGTAGAGTGAAAGAGATAGAACCAAAACATTCTAGTTCAATTGGTGAAAATGCTAGTTCAATCCAGTAGTAGCAACAATCAATACGAAACTAACGATTTTAAATTGGCTCACTACTTGACTAGCCTATTGGTCCCAAGCAAATCGATTAACGTACCCTATTCCGAGCCCTATTCTAGTTGAAATTCTATTACTACACTATGTTTGTTTTGATTCGCTATGAAAGTTTGACAGATATCATCAGGGGTGTGTGGATTCATGCAGAACATGCAGGGGTGAGTGAAATAGCTTGGGACTGCTTGGGACCGTTGTTCTGGTACTGAGTGAGCCAAAAATAATAATGATTTTCTTCGGGACCCAGTGGTCTTAGAGTTACCTCTATCAACAATCAATACGAAACTAACGATTTTAAATTGGCTCACTACTTGACTAGCCTATTGGTCCCAAGCAAACGATTAACGTACCCTATTCTAGTTGAAATTCTATTACTACACTATGTTTGTTTTGATTCGCTATGAAAGTTTGACAGATAACATCAGGGGTGTGTGGATTCATGCAGAATATGCAGGGGTGAGTGAAATAGCTTGGGACTGCTTGGGACCGTTGTTCTGGTACTGAGTGAGCCAAAAATAATAATGATTTTCTTCGGGACCCAGTGGTCTTAGAGTTACCTCTATGCCTCTATGCTATTGGTCCCAAGCAAACGATTAACGTACCCTATTCTAGTTGAAATTCTATTACTACACTATGTTTGTTTTGATTCGCTATGAAAGTTTGACAGATAACATCAGGGGTGTGTGGATTCATGCAGAACATGCAGGGGTGAGTGAAATAGCTTGGGACTGCTTGGGACCGTTGTTCTGGTACTGAGTGAGCCGAAAATAATACTGATTTTCTTCGGGACCTAGTGGTCTTAGAGTTACCTCTATGGCTTTACTTCCCTTGATCAGATGTTATGCCTCAGAACATCCCGGCGACGCCGACTGGCATTGAACCCAGGCCTGCTGGGGTGAGAGGCAATCACGCTTACCACTACACCACCGGCGCCGCTATCTTTTAAACAGTTATCCAATGATTTTTTATGAATTGGGTTCTTTAAGGGTATTGAGGTAAATGCATATTCGTAATCTGCATTAAAAATGGAACCCAAACCCAAAATTTCATCAATTTTGGCACACTGGAACTATTTTAAATAACTACGCTTACATTTGCAAAAATCACCTAATTAGCGCCCCTCGGTGTCACTTTGTATGGGAGCGAGCTGTCAGTTTGTTAGTTTAGTGTCAAACAGTGAAGTTATTATTTTGCTTTAAATCATGATTTAAAAATCGAGATGAAAGTGCGTGGTGTTGAAAAAAATATCGCTGTGCTCAGAAAACGAAGCTCTTTCAGATGATATATAAATACCGATATATTTTTCAAAATTAAAGAACCCAATTGACAAATTATGTATCTTGAAGAAGTTATCTCTAACGGATTATTTTATATGGATAGCTGGCTGTCATAACGGCTTTTTAATAATTATTGTAGCACTGCAAAAACTATTTCTGTTCGCCACGAGGGTGATGATGGATTTTTAATATTTGATTTAATAGTAGTAGATTAAAAAAAAAAGTAGTCTACAAAGGCTTGAGCCTCGCGCGTGTTTTACGGATATAGCATCAGATTGCGGGGTTGCTAGTGTAATAGGATGCTTTGTTGATTGTTCATTAACTCTTGATTGCGTCGAGGATTGCTTGTAATACTTATGAATATTTTAGGTGGACAAAAAGGCAAACTAAGAGGTGGACGCCTGAGCTTTTCCACATTTATATCGCTGTGAAGCAACTGTAAACTCTTGAGGGAATTTATATCTGTAACTGTAACCAGTTGGATTTTGTTTGCAAACCTGGTTAAATTGTCATATTTAATTATCTTAAAGATAAATCGTCCAGCTCAAACCTTTGTAGGGGTAAGAGGTGGGACCATCATCATCATTTCACCGTTAGATCCACAGACTGGTCATTTCAAAAACCATTCTACTACATCTGCATTCCTTCATCCGATCTAGTACCGCTCCCCAAATTCATCCCTGATGGAAAATTTTCTCTTTTTTTCCAGAACGTCATCGGTCAGCTGTCAGAGGGAAGAAAAAGAGAAGAAAAAACAAAAATTTCATTAGTATCGTTCTGGGCACGTAAACATTTACGAAAAATCGGTGGAATTTTCCTCTAGGAAACCTCGAAAAAAAGTGCTAATCGATCCATTGCCTTGGATGTGCCCCGATCAAACCAACTGCCAACCGTGAGAGGAGGAGAGTGTCGTCATCGTCGTTGCTCCCGCCCAGTATGCAGAAAATGCATCTCTCCCAGGATGTGTCGAGTGCGCTGCAGCAGCTCGAGATCATCAAGCAAACGGTGGAGGAAATGGAACCGAACAAGCTGCAGCTGAACGTGATGGACGATCTGAAGATGATTCTGGATCTGCTGCAGGATCCGGTCTTTCGGAACATCGTCCAGATTCAGGATTCGCTGGCCGAGCTCAACAACCAGATCACGCAGCATCCGTCGATCCTTCCGGGGGATTTCGATATAGCCAACAGTGGGGAACTGGTGTTGAATGTTCCTCCGGTGTCGGATCTGTTCGATGCAGAGTATCCGGACGAGCAGCGAGTCCCGTCGGCACAGATATCGCCGGGTAGTCCCGCTCCACCGCAATTACAGCAACATCAGCAGAAGCTGAATTTGGTGGAACATCCGGCGCAGGTCCCGCAACAGCCATTACCGCCATTGCCAGCACAACTACAGCATGCAGCGCTCATGATGAATAATGAGCTGATGGATAGCGGAGTTGTTGAGGTGAGTTGGAATGGAGTCTAATTTGGATTGTTGTTTGAATTTATTTATTTTTTTAGGACCATCTCAAACTGGACTCTCAGGACGAGTCGGATCTGTTGCAAGGTTTGCATGACTCCTCAAAGTCATCGGGAGGCGATATTGCTGCCGAGTGGTCTCGAATTCTGGATATTGAGTTGGTCAACGATGGAACTGGTCTTGGATTCGGTATCATCGGAGCTCGTGCCACCGGAGTAACCGTGAAGACAATCCTCGCGGGAGGGGTAGCTGATCGGGATGGGAGGCTGCAATCCGGAGATCAGATTCTGCAGATTGGGGATGTCAATTTGCACGAGATGGTATCGGAGCAGGTGGCTTCGGTTCTGAGACAATCCGGAACGCATGTCCAGCTGGTTGTGGCTCGTCCGATCGATGCCAGCGAGGAAACTATTGAGGAGTATGAGAACTCTGCAATCGTGCCAACTGTGCTGCTTGCTAATCCGCTCAAGCTGAAGCAATATTTGGCGGATTCAGGTTATCCGGAAATCTTCAGCGTTTATTCGATTGCAAATTTGGAAAAGGATAGCTTCGATAAGGACAGTCCGATCGATTTCCCAGAGACGGAAATCTTCACGGTGGAGCTGAGGAAGGATCAGAACGGGTTGGGGATAACCATCGCTGGATACGTTTGTGAGAAGGAGGAGTTGTCGGGGATTTTCGTCAAGAGCGTTTCCCCTGGAAGTGCCGCTGATTTGAGCGGAAAGATCCAGGTAAACGATCGGATCATTGAAGTTGACGGTCAATCACTGCATGGCTTCTCGAATCACCAGGCAGTTGATGTTTTGAAGCAAAGTGGCCATGTAGTGACTCTCTGCTTGGAACGCTACCTGCGTGGACCAAAGTACGACCAACTTCAGCAAGCCATCGCTGCCAATGAAATGAAACCACCTACCCCGGCCACTCCACCTCCAGTTCTGCCTCAAGCCGACCTATCCAAATATGGCAATAACATCTTGGACATTCTTCCGCGAACCATTGACAAACGATCCCCAGAAGGGAAACTGTTCAACAATTTCAACGACGAAGAAAGCAACCTAATGATGATGGCCGAACCGGATCAGCAAATCGAAACCATGATGGCCCACAAAAAGCTCGCCCGTGCCAAGGACTCGATGGACAATCACGAGTACCGCGAAAAGATCAAGGAAGCTTCCATTATTCCACCCCCGAGCGATGCCGATTTGGATATGCTGCTGGCGGAGACTACCAACCAGGCGGCCCTCGTCAAGCATGGCAAGCAGCGGAGCTCGCTGAAGGTCAACGAGGATACCGAGGCGTTCATCGTGAAGAAGTGGAACAGCATCCTGGGGTCGAATGTGAAGATTATCGTTGCCAACATTAGGAAGTTTGCCGCCTCGAGTGGGTTGGGCATTTCGCTGGAGGGAACGGTGGACGTTGAAGGAGGCAAGGAGGTACGGCCACATCACTATATTCGGTCGATTCTGCCGGAGGGACCGGTCGGGCAGAATGGGTTGCTGTGCTCCGGCGATGAGCTGCTAGGTGAGTACGGTTTTTTTGTGGTTGGTTGGTTTTTCGGAAGTAGGGGTGTTTTCTCTTTTCTTTTTTACTTTAAATGATTTATTTCTTGTATTTGTGTGGTTTACATGACACCTAACCTACTATATACAAATTGCTTATCAAAGCATGTTCTGATGTATTGCATTTCTGCACAAACCTAGTCTTAATGTTATCATTTTTGAAATCTAATTTTGGAACGTTCGCCTCTTGGTGGATGTCTGAAATTCTTGTGTCAAAGGGACGATCAAGGATCATCCTAAGCACTCTGTTTTGAGCGACCTGGATTTGGTTCCTGTGAGTTTGTGCACATGATTCCCACACCGGAGCTGCGTAGAGGATCGCATGTGCTATAATTTGTTTGTAGAAAGCCAGTTTGTTCACCCCTCCCCTTGGCTAGTTTTTGCACCTTGCTGTTGGTGGGCGGGCTTAATTTCATGCTAGTGGAGTGTTGGAGACGGTGGGTTTGTGGCCGACGTTGCTGGCTCATGCCGCGATAGAATGGCGCCATGGGCAGGCAATGAGGATTACTGAGCTTCCCCTCTCTGATAAACCACTGCATGAGAGAACAAAAGATCTAGTCCAGCAGTGATAGTATCACACTTGTTACTCCTTTTATTGAGAGCCGCGTCGTGGTACGCTTACGTATAGGCACTGACGTTGGGTGTGATACTGGCGGGTTTTGCCGCAAATCACTCTTATTTTATTTATTTTTGCGCGGATGGATCTGTTTGGGTTTGCAAGGGAGTTGTACTATTGGAATGTTTCAGGGGGTGCCCAGCGGTGCTCCTTCTACTTGCGTGGCGGGCTTTCATTGTTGTTTTCATTGAAGTATTACTCAGGGAACAGTTTTAAACATCATTTTTGTACATGGTATTGTAACTAATCTTATATGTGCTTCATTTTGATTTGGGATAAATTTTTGAACTATGGCTCGGGATTTCCACTGTTGCGTGCTTCTATTGTGATATATCCATACGTAATTTTGTGGGACGACATAGTGGAAACGTGTGAGCGTAGTTGGAGCATATACCCTATATAATTTAAAATCAGCTAGGAAACTAACTTCAAAATGAAGCATTTTAGTCACTTGAGGGTGTCACCTGGGTCGAACTAAGATATAATAAATAGGTATAGGTCAAAATCAAAAGTACTTGAAACACGTTTAATTTTAGATTACAAGCAAAAGTGCAGGTACTTAATAAAGCATGGGTTATGATTGATTAGGTGACTTAGAGCTTTTAATAATTTATTAATTTAGACTAATGAGATATCATAACCATCAAATGAATTTAAATAATAAACTTCAGAAAGTTTAATGACATTAAGTAGATTAACAAAAGAATTAGGATGCGGGTGGTCCGCTTAGGGAGGCAACTAACCTTTATAGTTGTAGAATAAATCTTCTTATTTAGTATTGAATTTAAAAAAAAGAAAACGCAGGCAGACCAATAGCATTTAGCAGATTAACAAGGAAAGGAATAGTTTAGGAAAAAAGTAAAAGTAGAGTTATGTGACAGTGTTGCGTGAACAAACAAGATTTATTTCCGATTTTATAACCCGTTTCAGAATGGTGAGGGAGGGTTAAAAAATTCCTTTAATGACAAATTCAATACAAGAATTCATTAGGTTTAAGTGGATGTCCTAATTGTAAGTGCCATATCTTTTAATTTAGATTTAGGCTTTAGGAATAAGGATAATTAATTGTAAACAGCTTCAATGCATGATCATAGTTGATAGTTATACATATTACTCACGTTTAGTATCTTTTTAGCCTTCGCAACTTGTTCAGCTATTCGTACTGCTAGTAGGAGGCCTTTGCCTACAATGTTCAAATTTAGGTTAGTTTTTCACACTATTTTCACATTACAAATTTACCTGTTATATTAGAGTACAATTATCCGGAATTTCTTGCTAACGAATCACTTTCTTTTTAACTATAAGTATTACTAGTTTCAAAATCAAAAAAATAGAATTATAATAATTTCAATGAAAAAACTAACCAGAAAATCTCACCGTGACTTTTGTTCACTTTTTCTTCTGTTTTCTTTTTTACTTACGGTTGGGCGCTTCGTCATTGACGATGACAGTTGATGACATCTTTAAGTCGGATGCAAGGTTGCTAAATAGAAGGAGGTTCGTCACACTCCGCAGGGGTGTAACACTCCCCCACAGTACGCCGCTGGTGTTGAAGTGGCTTACTTCCTTCTGAACCGACGTCCAGAATAGCGATCTTGATCGCTGGTCGCTCCAGCAGTCCGTGCTCCGTTTGCACGGTTACTCGTCTCACCTGTCCGTCGCTGGAGCGAACGACCTTCACAATGCGACCCCTCGGCCAGCAGTTCCTTGGAAGATTGTTGTCCGCGATCAAGGCCAACTCCCCTTCTTCGATGGGCTTCGTAGGTTGGAACCATTTCGTCCTCCGGGTTAGGGTCGGCAGGTATTCGGTCACCCATTTCTTCCAGAACTCGTCGGCGTAAAGCTGAGACATCTTCCACGACTGCTTCAGGATAACAGGTCGGTCGTCGAATGCGATCGGGGGCTTGCTTCCATTCGAGCACCCTAACAAGAAATGGTTGGGCGTTAAGGGGGGCTCAGTGTCAGTGTCTAGCGGTATATGGGTGAGTGGTCTTGAGTTGATGATCATCTCGATCTCCATGAGCATTGATCGAAGGATCTCGTCGGTCGGTAGCCGCGGAGGGTTGAACTCATACAGGATCTTCTTGACTGCCTGCACTAATCGCTCCCAACAGCCTCCGAAATGCGGAGCAGCCGGTGGATTAAACGTCCACTTGGTTTTCGGCCCGACGAAGGTGGTCATTAGTTTCTCCTCGTCGACATTCTTCGAAGCTTCACGTAACTCCCGCGAAGCTCCAACGAAATTTGCGCCTCGGTCGCTAATGATCTCGAGCAGGGATCCTCTTCTCGCGATAAAGTTTCGTAGAGCAAGAATACAGGAATCCGTCGTGAGAGAGTGTGCGAGCTCGATGTGAACGCCCCTTGTCGTCAAGCAGGTCAGCAGAACACCCCACCGTTTCTCAACTCGTCTTCCGACTACTACCAACATCGGGCCGAAATAGTCTATTCCGGTGTACGAGAACGGTCGCTGAAACGCCGCTAGGCGTGCGGGAGGAAGGTTTCCCATGGCAGGGGGCTGCGGATTTACTCGGCGTACCTTGCAATGTTGACAATTTTTGCGGACACGGTTGTACTCTGATCGAAGCCGGGGAATGAAGTATTTCAGCCTTACTTCGTTCATCACCGTTTGGTGGTTTTGGTGACGGTACTTGTTGTGATAATCGGCGATCACCAAATCGGTTACGTGATGACGCTTCGGAAGCAGGATCGGATTCTTGACGGTTTCATCTACCCACTCACAAGCTTCGATCCGTCCGCGCATCCGTAGTACACCGTGTGCGTCGATGGCCGGGCTAAGCTTGTATAACAGGCTGGTCTTCGGGATGATGCGTTCCCAGGGCTGTTTGTCCCAATCCACGTGGCTTAGCATTTGAACCTCGTCCGGATAGGCTTGCCGTTGCACTTGACGGTAGATGGTTTGTTCGGCACTATTCAGTTCCTCTTGCGTAAGCGGTCCTAGCTCGACGGGTATCTGGTTGGTTCGATTCTGGAGGTTCGTGATGAATCGGTGAACATATGCGACCGTTCTCAACAGCCGCTTCCATTTGGAGAAACGCTCGAAGCACACCAGCGGTTCCGTGATCATGTGATGAAGAACACTGGGACGAATCTCTTCTGCAGTCGTCCCCGGAACTCCGCCTTCACCTGGCCATTCGGTTTCCGGTTTCCATAGGAAGTCTGGTCCGCGGAACCAGCGACTTGTAGGTTGTAAGTCCGGCAGTTTCTGCCACTTCGTTCCGTCATCAGCCACATTCGATCTCGTAGACACCCATCTCCACTCATCCCCTCCAGTGCTTTCCAGCAGCTCACTGATCCTGAACGCTACGAATTGGCTATAGCGTCGGTGATCGGATCGTATCCAGCATACCACATCGCGGGAGTCCGTCCAGAATATTCGGCGTGAAATCTTGATCCGGTGTGAGCCTGCAATGCTGTCTGCCAAACGCGCTCCGACTACAGCAGCTTGTAGTTCTAATCGTGGAATTGAGAGGAATTTCAACGGTGCTACCCGTGTTTTCGATCCGACCATGGCGCATTCTATCACTCCAGCTTCTTCGAATCTAAAGTATGCCACGGCAGCTATTCCATTTTCGCTTGCATCGCAGAAGACGTGCAGTTGAACAGTGTTTGTGGCTTCAGCAGTCGTGATGTATCGATAACACCGAGGAACGCTCACCTTACGTACGTCAGGCAACACTGCGATCCAAATCATCCACTTCTCCGCCAGCTTTCCAGTGACTTCATCGTCCCAAGCACACCCAGAGCGCCAAATTTCTTGAAGGAGAATTTTCAAATACATCAAGAAATTGGCGATAAGTCCCATTGGATCATATATCGCCATCAGCGTCCGTAACACTTCCCGCTTCGAGGGCATTCTGACTCCGGACAACAGCTCCGCATCATGTTTTGGTGATATCCTGAACGTGAACGTGTCGGTGGCGGTGTCCCACCACATTCCAAGCACCTTCTCCGTTGCCATCTCCGTACATAGGCTCATGTTTTTCTCCGTGGTGGTGCCCTCCTGCAAGGACGTCGTGACTTTGCTTGAATTCGATAACCAGTTACGAATCTCGAAGCCTCCTTGAGAATGCACGAAACGCACTTCATTGGCTAGCTGCACGGCTTCCTCCTCGGTCTCCACACTGGATAGCATGTCGTCGACATAGTGTTCGTACTTGATGCACTCAACCGCTCGAGGGAACTGCTCCATGAACCTATCTGCGTTCAGGTTCTTCACATAGTGCGCGGAACTTGGAGAACACGCTGCGCCGAACGTCATAACATTCACTACGTACACGTCCGGATCTTCATTGGGTTTTCCGCTGCTCCACAGGATCATTTGACTT